ACAAGGGAGGAGGCTATGATCGGGCTGTAAAGTGAGTAATTTTTTTTTAAAAAAGGTTTCAATAAAAAGAGACAACACGGGGGGAAAAAAGAGTGTCAAAATAAACTAAGGTTGTTAAACCGTCCTCTTCCTGTAGTAAGGATGGAAGCCACACAAGAAAAGAAAGAAATTCTCCTCACACCAAATTTCCAAACTTTCATGAGTCACTACAGCCTGCCCTGGCTTCCATGTGTCCTTCACTGCGGTCCACAAATTCTCCTCTGCTCATTCCACACTGGTCTTCTACCCCGTATCAACCCAGTCTACAGGGGCACATGCTGAAATCACCACCTTGCTCTGCATTCTGACATTGGGGTCTGGAAGGTGGTTCAAATCTTCAGCCCATCAGTTTTGGTTCATTCAACCCAATTGTCAACTTCATCTATAAAATGAGAAATGTTATCCTGTATAGTGCTATAAGGATGAGACTATGCAGCTGGCTACCTACCACAATGCCTACATGTCAGGCCCCAGTCACAGTGCCTGGAATACAGACAGTACTCAATAAAACTATCCACTCCACACCAAGCAACCAGAGAAAACAGTCTCTTGGGGTTAGACACAGGTCCAATCCCAGCCTTGTATCAGAGACCCCCAAAGTCAGAGCTCCCCTGTGACTGAGGCAGGTGGCCTGACACATCCCCACGACCTATGACAGTGTTGCTAGGCAAGTGTAGGTTGTATATACGTACATAATGAGGGTGGCAGGAAATGTCCACACGCGGGCAAAGATACGGGAATGCTTACAACTGTGCTCTCTACAGGGAGGTGCACATCACGAAAGGCAATCAAGGTTCACTTCACAACTCACATACTAAGTCAATTAACCACTGCCACACCCAATTCCTCCCACCAGATTGTCACTGCACTCAAAAGACAAACGGAAAAGCAGATGAAAGCAATAACATTCGTGCTCCTTTAGTCTCCCAGGGTAAGTTAAGAAGGCAAGTATTTAGTAGGGGGGGAAAAAAGGAAAAATAGCAATAAAAGATAACTTCACAAAGGTTAACAGATATTGGATTTATGGTTCATCTGTTCCATGCTCAGGGCAAGTAACAGACCTTGAAATCTAAAATAGATTTCACATCCTTAAGGCAGAGATGACGGGGTAAAGATCAAACGCTTTCCAGGGCCTACATTCAGGAAAGCACTAACTGAGTCATAAAAATCTCCTGCTCATCTTTCAATTCCGAAGGATGAATGCAAGGTTGAGTCAACCGTACTCCAGGCACAGGCTTGCCACAGCAAGCAGTGGTGGTCTGCCGCTGCAGGTGTCGGGCACCCCTCTCCGGGCCACGGGAGGCACAGCCTGCCTGAGGAAGAGCGCACCTAAATTGCCTTCTGGGTGTTTTCAAAACCACCAACAAGTGCTGCCAGGGTATGGAAATGCTATTTCATTTAATTACTATTTGCTGTGATCTGTGCAAGATGAAAGGGAAGGGAGGACACAGGCCACTCTGCTAAGCCACTGTAGCTACAGAACTCTACAACGTGACACGTGAGTATTAGTGATCAAACAATCCTGGGTAGTAAATTCAGACATGACTGCCAAACAACAACAATGTAAGTGCTAATAAGTTTATATATCCATAAGGATCAGAAACAATCTAAATACACAATAAGCAAAATCCTTTCTTTCTACCATAATGCCATCATAAAATATAACTGAGATCTCAAGTATAATAACAACAAAAAAGCAGTCATACACATAGGAATAAACTTCAAAATGTGAGACAGAAATGCAGAAACAATCAAGCTCGGTGAAAGACGTAATTGTAGAGATGGTTATTTCTGGAAGAGGAAAAAGTGCCAACATTATGAAGCAATGGCTTCTCCCTTCAGTAAACTACAAATTAAAGACAACCAAATTCCTATTCTGCCTGCCCTGCAGTTTTTATACACC